GCTCTTGGCTTTTCTCTGACTTAGCACCAAAGCCCCGCTTCCACGTGTGTCACCCTCCCACCTCCTGGAAGATGGCTGTCTGGGTTTGCAGTACCTTTCTTACAGGTGCCTGCTCAGTGCCGGTTGGGGGGGTGCGCGGGAGGGGGGTTCCTATTCCATGTCAACAAAGGCCCTGGAAAGAGAGAGTTTCCAGGTGTTCGGGAAAGACGAGGAGTCAGATTTTGTGTGCAGACTCCGCCGTAACGACGGTGCACGGCCATCGTCTAACAGGACGCACATCTGCGCTTCGCTGCCGCCTGCAAGGCACAGCGCTCTGCTTTCTCGGGCTTATCTGATGCGTTAATTATCTATGAAATGGAAGGCATGGCTTCTCACATTATTCTGTGTCATCACTTGGTAAAGCACTGACCCTTAAAACAAGGCGATGAGGCTCACAGGTAGAGCCCTTGGCCTAGTTCCAGGCACAGAAGGGACTGTCATTTAAAAATCATGACCTCGACAGCATAGTGGTCCAATAAAAATTTTAGTGAAAAGCTCATTGGTTTTACAGAGGTGAAAGATAGTAGATGATACATTTTCATTCTTAACCTGCCGAGTAAGCCTCGCTTTAGAAGATGACGGGGTCTGTATATCACCTGGACTGTCACTTGGTCAAAATCGTGATGCCTGTTTCAAAAATTATCACTGTTCTATGAAATGCCTGACATCTAAAACCACACAGCTTATTACTCTGCTCCTTAGGTGCTTTGCTGCTGCGTCTGCTCACGTGTCGGCTGTCCCCTCTCCTGGTGCCGTTTTTATTCCCAGGGCAGCTGCACGTGGCCCCTGAGAGACCAGGTGGCATTAGTGGAGTGGTTTATTTTATGTGGTATGGCAGCGGCAGTGAAGAGTTTAACTTTCGACAGCAGACAGACCAGAAACGAGTGTAGGGACTTCATCAATAGATAACTAGTGTCTCAGTTGACTGGGCTGCATACGTAGCGCTAGACCAGAAAAAGTCAGCTGTATATCCCAGTCCATCAGAAGTTTATCAAATGGTGCGGTCACGCAGCTCTCATGGATGAAACCTGATGACCCCAGAGTTCTGTGGCAGGCCGCCTCCAAGTAGTCTGACCTCCTTCAGTTAAAATCGCTTGTTTCGAGAACTAAAAATTGTCAAACAGAACGAGTCAGATGTCCTGCAACTTCGATTTTAAACAAATCTTGGATTGTTTCATTTTAAATGAATAATGTCTTCTAATGTGGCAATATGGAATTAACTATAATATAATCCGCTTGCTTTTCTTTGACAGAAAAAGTGGATAATTGTTGCTGTGTCGGTGGTTCTGGTTGCTGTAATTGCTCTAATTATTGGTTTATCAGTTGGCAAATGACGATGTGGATAGCGTCAGTGTGTGTCCCTCTCTGCCAGCGCGGCAGTAAGTAACTAATCACTGATCTACTTACTAACTTTCTCAATTCGCTAATAGTCACGCTTGCCTGATTGCAGTCTGCTTAGCAGGAGTCACAGCGCCTGCCAGCGCGGGCCAGGAAGGGCGGGCCGCGCGAGCGCCCGCTGGCCGGTTCTCGTCTCCAGCCACTATGCGCACTGAGAGCGGCCCGGCTGGCGGGTCGTTCATTGTTAAGCGAAGGCCGCCTCCTCGTGTCGACTTTTAGAGCCTCTAGGTTGGCTTGTGCCGCTTGGCTGACCGCGGCGCACAGCAGCCTGGCCTCTCCCGCTGCTTGTTTGCCAGCGCCGTAGGGACAGATGAACATGGCCAGTCCTCGTTGATAAAACACACCCAGGCTCACGTCAGCAATTATTTTTTATACAAATGCAGTGGTCGGTGTCTTTAATTATGCTTTTGAAAAGTGAATTTATTCTCAGCGAGTAGGTGGGCGGAGCCTCCCTGTAGGCCCGGCGGGCACTGCGGGGCCCCGGTGTGGGCACCTCAGCCCCAGCACCCTGCAGCGCGGTGGGGTGGGGGGTCGGGCAGAGCGAGCCCCTCGCCCAGGGATTATCCGAGTCGGAGGGAGAGCTGTGGCTCGCCCTCAGCGGCAGCGGCGCCCAAGGAAGTGCCCATCCCAGAGGAGACAGCTGTTGTGGGGTGGGGGTTAACAGAAGGCTGTCAGGGGGCGTGGCTCCAGGGGAGTGGGGGGAAGGGGGCAAGGGCGCGTGTGCCAAGTGCCGGGTGTCCCTGAGTTGCGGAGGTCAGCACGCATGTGCGGGGTGCCCGAGCATCCAGGGTGATGGGGGCTCTGAAGGGTGGGTGTCGGGGGGGAGGAAGGCGCGATAGGCCAAGCGCGAAGCTGCCTCTGCAAGTGCGTGGGAAGACGTGTGCGCAGGGCAGCCGGGACCAAGGTCCTCGCCTTCCGGGGGACGCGCGTAATACTAGCAAGTGACAGAACTTGCGGGGTGCTGGCATCCTGAGGGCGGCGCTGCTCGGTTCTGAGCCACTGACTTGGAAGCTTCCCGCCCGCCGTGCTGTCGTCACGGGTCACACAAATGCATGGAGCCTTTGGCAGGCTGACGCCTTCTCGGGCTGTCCCCTTTCAGCAGACACGGTTTCTTAGATGAAAGCCTGGCCTGCGTTGGTTAAACTAACGTAAGGTGAGGAGTCTCTGCTTTTTACAAGGAGAACTCGGAGTCATATGGCGTGGCCACGTGCCCTTCATCTTGGTGACTTCCTTCCCTTCTGCCGCAGACAAGTTTCCTGGAGGATACTAGGCCTCTTAGCTTTCAGCTGTGCAAGGACGCTTGTTAATTAAGAAAAGCGGGTGCAGCGGGAGGCCGGCCGCGCGGCCGGTTGACTTCCGGCGCACCTGCAGCGTCCCTCCGTGTGAAGGAAGGTGGAGTAAGAGTCTGCAGATAGAAATAGGTTCATTTAAAGTATTAAGAGGATGTAGAGCGCACGGAGAAACAGCAGTTTGAAATTTTATTACGATCCGTAGAGTGTCCTTTCGGAACCCACGTGGTGCCAGCTGGACTTGCCTTTTCCTTCCGGGAGCAAATAAGTGTGGTTTTAATGACATTTTAATTTATTAATTTAACTTAATGCACATGTGTCTGCAACGTACTGTCTTGCCTTAGGACTTCCCTTTTCTCTGACCCGGGGCTCGCTCTCAGTCATGGATTTGTATTTTAAACTATCCAATTCCAGGAGAATTTTGTTAGGAAAGGCATGAATGACCTCTTTCCTCTGATACCTTGCAAATTAATGTTTTTCTTTGTCTTGCAGAAAATGATGTTCATTATTATTTGTGTAATTATTTTGCTTGTGATCCTTGGAATTATCCTAGCAACAACATTGTCATAGCAACCAGCGCCCAAGAGCCATCTATCCTGGAGTCAGGCCACATCTGCAGCAAATCAGCATCCTCCCATTTCCTGAATGAACCCTAGACATTGTGACACGTGGCACTGAGTGCTCACTTTCTATTAGTGAATTCAAGAAGAAAACAAGAGAATGTATTGTTCAGTGAAAAAGCCGTAGGCAGAACGGATGTGATGAGTTAACCCAAACACTCTTGGACCCTGAACAACACATCACAAACCTTTAACAATGTGAAACTTGTTTCAATGGCCTTAAAATAAGGAATTATTGAAATTTTCATTTTTTAAATATTTCAGTGTTAAAAATATATGTATGTAAAGCTTAATTAGGAATATTTTATGTTCTGAAGCTATTCGATTTCAGGTCTAAGACATCTTTCCACCCCTTCTCCCAGCTAACAAGCTAATTAGGAGGTTTTTGTACTGTGTTTAATTTGTGTTTATTGTTTGAAAAATAATTTTTATTATCACAGAGCTGTTTTGTAACATATCTATAATTTTAAATGTTTGTAAATTGTTTAATATATTAACATCTTAATTTACTCCATTTTTATATATTACATATTGGCGTTTTAAAGAAATAGGAAGCTTCATGGTATTCGAGCCATCATTGCACAGCTGTTTACAAAGTTTGCCGTCAGCATAGAAAACATTACTTGCAAAGCGCCCCAAAAGCCTTTAAGTGCCTTCTGTTAATATTGGTTTATAAGGTTTAAATGCGCCCGATGCCTTCCGGAAAAGTCTTAGTTATTATACTCAGTTCCATTTCTACCTGTTTCAGTACCCAGATAATAAATTAGTTACTGCACTGTAAAGACAATGGCCTCTTCTTTGTTCATTAAAAATAAGGTTTGTTTCCCTGTTTACATTAATAAAGTCTGAATTTAAGATGCTGATAAAAACCAAGATCGAGTACTTTCTATTCCTAGACATTAAGTCATTCTTTTAAACTGTTGAATAGGTCACTTCAGTGTTCTTGTTAAGTACTTTTCTGCTGAACTTTAAAAGTTAATTCCCAAAGTTTATAGGAATCGCTGATAATTAAATGTTTTTATTGCTCATTGATGGTTTTTATTGTAATATGCTTTTGGCTTATAAAATGTATGAAATCTTGCTAGTGAACAGACATGTAAAAGATAGCAACTAGTCAACATTTAAAATGAGCGTGTGAAGGATACCCAAAATATAGTTAATTCTTGTTACGTCTGTATGTAGTTGTATAAGCATGTGACTGTATTTTAACGTTGTTTGGTTTTAAAACTCGTGTAGACATGCTTGATTTCAAACAATAAGTGTGAATTACACTGAACAGTGTAGAAGCCATGTTCCTTATTTAATACGATTATGAACTCGTCATTCACAGCGCGTAGCTCAGCTTTAAGTCCATGTTTTTGCGTGTTGTTCACTTGCTGGTCATCACTGGGTGCTGAGTCACTCCAGGGGCCTCTGGCCCTGACATATATTATTAAATCTTTAAGTAGTCTGTCAGTGAGATCTGCTCCCTGATTTGTACTAACATTAAGATATAACTCGTCTTGAAGGATATTTAACTTGAGAGATCATGCTTGTGTTAATGTACCTTTATATACGTACTCGGCTGTGTAATTATGTGCTGATGAGCTGTCTCTGTTGTCTGACGCTCTTAAAGTCAAGCCTGTTAAGCCCTCACCTTTTATAATTCTTACTGTATTTTTTCAAGTCATTCTTTCTAGGCTTGAAGTACTTACCGAATTTGTGATTTTATAGTTGAAGTTATGGAAATGCTTTTTGATTTCTATTTGGATATTTAAGTCATTCATTAGATAACACATTTGTATGTCTAAGCCTCATGTACCTATCTGACATCAGATTTAAACGATATATTTATAAGTTCATTTGTTATCTTTTATTATTTCTTCAAATATTTCATGTTTACATTGAAAGAACTCCGAGAACCCTGCCCCCTAAAATTTACTTTCTACTTTGTCATTTCTGGAAAGGTATTTGGGGAGGTATTTTATTGCATGTCCACTAATAAACTGTTCTACTAAGGAAATTATCTGTGGTCATTATTATGTATAATAACAATGTAAGTTAATCGTAGGTGTTTTTGATAAATTTTTGATCATTACTGTTCTAAGAGCTTCTGTGGTCCGTATCTTAAATGTCAGCAGCACATGTGTATTGAGGAACCCACCGGAAGTTCTGCTGTTGACAACGAAGGCTAACTCGAGGACTCCGGGCTGTACCTCACCCAGGGGCTTTGAATGTATGTCCTCTTGACATTCCCATTACTGTCCGTGGAGGGGGGAGCCCTCCCCTCGCTAGAGCCATTTATCCTCTATGCGTTGCTCAATCTTCTTTCAGAGTTTTTCTTATTAATAAGTGGACTTTCCTTAATTCATAACCCTTACTGAATTCTAACCTTTGTTTATACTTTTTAAAGAAAACGAAGTTTACTGTCTAAAAGAATGTCGTTCCTTCGCAACCGCGGTGCTGGGAGAGGGGAGAGCCGGAGGGAAGCCACTGCCACCTGCACATGGGGGTGGCAGGGGTGGCGGTCGCACAAGCAGGGGACCTTCCGCCCGCCCCGCGGGCTCAGCAGGGTCACCGTTCCGACGGCTCCCCACAGTCAAGGACAGAGGGTGAGGGGCCGCCCTCCGCGGCCTCCTCCCACATGTCATTATTATTTTGTCACTAAACTCACGCGCCTGCCCAGTTTAAGGAAGAGGAAGTGGAGACCCGGAGGGGGGCGCCTGGGTGGCGAGGCCCGTAGGGACGAGCGTCTCTGCCCAGGTCCCCAGTGGGCCAGGGCTGGGCCTTGCCAGGTGGCCAGGCCTCCGCCCTTGGTGACCGTGTGGCCGGCACGGCGAAGGGGCCTCGGCGGACGGGCCTGACTCGGGAGGGACACAGCGGTCCCTCCACAGACTGTGACACCGGCCTGGCCGCCGGGGAAGCCGGGCCCCGGGCGCCGGGTCAGGAGCGCAAGGTGGCGCGGTGCCTTCCGGGAGCCCGCGCGTCGACTTCCGGCCTCGGGGCTCCTCAGACGGTTCCGGTCTCGCGCTTCGCGAGAGTCAGTTCCGGTTCTTATGGTTCCTCAGTGTCGACTTCCGGTCTCGCGGGTCGTCAGAGCGGCTCTGGTCAGTCCCGGCGCGTGGCGCGGCGGTGTCGGCCCGGGTGTGGACGTGTCCGGTTCACGGCCACCCTCAGGAGCGCTGTCCCC